CTGTGTTCATCTGGTTGTGTTCATGAGGTATGGCAACTTGGACCGATACATATATGTGCTTGGTCCTACGTTGTAGCTGACTGACTGGACCGATGCTTTGATGAAAGCCTAGGTACTATCATTTAGTACTGTTGTTTAGGAATATTTATTCACTGGTTTACTTCGAGTTTACTTTTGAAGTATAATTTTGTCCACTGTCAGTATTTACATACAATAACAATCATTTTATTGAATACTTTACAATCAAATACAATGAAAAAATATTATAACGTTTTAATTAGGCCTTTTTAAAGAAATTTCAAAATAGTACCCTGAAGCCAAGATATATGAAACATGAACATTCATTCGTTATAATCTAATTCTAAAACATATGAGTTGTTTTCTATTCCTATGTGATTTGTAATTCATTTTACATATTGAGATAGAGTTGACTCAGCTAATATTATGTTTATTATTTTCTCTTCTTTTCTTAAAATCAAGACCTTTATCATTATTTTTGTCATTCATAATTAAACTTGTCTACTCCATGTGATTATAATGACTGTATTGTGATGATAAAGTTTGCATAATTGAGATTACCTTTGTTGTTGATGATAATGATGATGTCGGATCCATACATGATTTATCTACTTATTAATCAGTTAAATGACTAATACCCTTTATATACATATATTACTGACCCTTATTCATCAGAAAATTAGAATTTCCATCTAACTTCCAGTTTCCTTCTTTTTATGAGTTTATATCTTTCTCTCATTTATATTTTCCATTCTCAGAGCTATCTCTATTTCTCTAATATGTTTTTCTTCACTTCCATTCAATATGTTTATATTAATGTAAAACAAATATGTGTCTATCATTGTATATATTATTTATGAAATAATCCGTAAATAAACATCAATAACCGGTGAAACATACAATTCATAGATTGGAGCATAAATATGTACTGTATCTGTACATGTTTGTGTGTTTGTGTATGTGTGTATGTATGTATGTATGTATGTGTGTGTAATATAGAAACAAGAACACGAGATCAATCAAAATACTGAATGATAAAAATTGAAAAAATTACCAGATCATTCAACGATTGTGTTCCTTTTTCTCTTCCTTCTTTCGCATAAATCAAAAAGCACATATTATTTACTTATTTATCTATCTCAATGGTTTTATATACTACAATACAAGTGAGCATTATATTTATACATACATGTCTAAGAGTTGCTCAACCACAAATAGAGTATGTGTTTCCTTTCAATTAATTCCACTTTTTTCCATAGTAATTTTGTTTTTTCAGTTCATTGTAATTATATTTATAGACATTAAGTAAAACAAAAAACGGTAACAGTGAATTTTTCTAGGGTTATCCTTTTTTTTTCTTTTTCTTTTCTTTTTAATGAATATCAAAAAGGGATTTTGTAAATATGTTCATAGTGAAGATCATATGTTCATTGAAGTTAGACCATCATAGATAACTTGAAAGTATTGAATGATTGTTTCGTTGTATACATGGATGATTGAAAAAAAAAACGATTGATATCAATACAGAATAATTCCTAATTTAAACAAAAACAAAAAACAAACAAAAAATATTATTTGGTCCATTAAAATAATATTTTTATTTCCTAGTGAAAAACCAAAAAAAGAAAAGAAAATAAATAAAAGTTATTCTAGAACAATTAAACATACATGTTGTCAATAGGGTAACTTAAAAAGTAATAAATATTAATTAGTTAATGAATTCCTAACTAAAGTATAATAATTTGAATCTTATCCATTCAATGAAACTTAACTTAATATAGAGTGAATTTTATGTATTAAACTCAATGAATCATAATTATGAATCATATTGATAATAATTTAATTCTATATAAGTAGTCTACATGAATCATTGATCATTATTATTATTAATGGTCATAATGTTTTATTACCTGTTTCCTTTCTATCATTATTTATTGTGGTTAATAAATACACATTCTATTTATATTACTGTTGTTTACTACTAATAAATAGTATTTTATTGGTTTATATTCAGTTGTAAAAATAAAATATAGAAATTGGTGATAAGTTCTAGAAAAAAACATTTTACATTCGAGGGGGGGGGGTGAATTTCAACTGCATTCTTTTATTAATTGTATATTGGGTTTAAATATTGTAGAAAGAAACGAAATACCATAGTAGTTTTTAGTGTATTAATTATTAATTTATACTGACTAGACAATTTAGATTTGTTATTAACTTGTCGATTGAATGCTACTTCTTATATCTGGTCGTCACTGATTGTTATGCCGGAAACGTTTATCACTTATACTCGGAACGGGGGACCTCTGCAATTCCCACGATGCGAAAGTAAGAACACAAAGACTGTTATAAGTGAAAACTTACTAACCCCAAAACACGACGATGACGACCCTCGTCAAAAATACACTCATTTATATACTGAGGTAGACACCTGTTTCTATGCGACACGAATTAGCTTCACTGGTCACGGCTTCTCATCAGAAATCCGAGAATTTTCTCACGAAGCTAGTCACTAGTGAGCACTTGGTAATTATCAGTTAAGGGGTTGTGGAGATTGTTACACTGAATGATCATCACATTGAATTAAAACGGTAATAATGTTGAATAAAACTCATAATGAGTAAATCACTCGAATTTTGACTTTTCTTCTCATATCAAGATTCATTTCGATTGATAAAAGTTTTCTACATTTAAACCTGGAAAGAAGATTTGAATTCAAGGTTGTTTCATTTATTAGTTGAATAATAATAAAATTGACTATCGTTGATAGTAGATTCATGAATTTTTAGAGAGGAGTTCAATGGTTCATGAAGTGCCTTTGAAATTATCAAGTATAATGATGAAATGCTAACTATTCAAGATTTTTATTAATGAATTTATATAATTTTTAATATCGTAATCAATGAAAAATTAAATTTATGTTGTTTCGTAATTTAGTGTAATTTGCTTCTTCTGAGTAAATATTTCAATTATTTTCTTTGAAAACGTAGTTTACATCAAGTTGAGAAAGGTCGAAAATTTAATTTTTAGTCGTTAAAATACTGCAAATATATCATTCAATTTATTGGTAAAAATCTATACAATCGTTGTCCATCTTTGCTGATAATGCTTGTGAATTAAGGCAATATTGATGTAACACGCACAGTATGCACATATGCCAATAAGAGACTGATCAATTGTAATCCTAGACATCAATCGGAAGATTCAAGTAAACAATACCAAGTGAATTTAAACTTCACCTGATTACACAAGCAAGTGGCTATTAGGACTCGGTGGCTAAATGTATGACACGATAACGTTTGAAGCGAACGGTACTGGGTTCGAGTTCTGGAGTGAACGTGAACTCTGGGATGCAGGTACATCCAACTAACGAGTCCAGAATAGGACGAGACGCGCATTCTGGATTTCACTGCTAGCGATTATCCATCTTTCCTCATAATTATTAACTTATTGAAAATTATCAAGTCAAACCCTTTGTATCAAACTTACCAGGGTTTGAGAAATATTGTGTTCTAAAAATCGGTTGTCTAATATAATTTCCCTGATAAACCTTTAGGCCCATTAATAACTCTGGAGAACTAGACAGTTGTTTAGTAATAGTTAGTAATATCAATTTTTGTGCGCATAAATCTTCATGTTTGGTTTCAAGCATGATTTCAGAGGCTTATCTTTTTTGTATTTCCGTCATCTAAAGGCAAAGTTATAGAAAACTCATCCAATACAATAATGATGGTTCTTGTTTCTATCTGTTTTAGAATTGCAGGATTTCACTGATTGAAATCATGAGTCAGTTGAAGATAGACCAACATGAAAAACCTGGAAGCACTGGATGGTCGTTTCGTCCTAGTATGGGACCCCTCAGCAGTGCGCATCCACAATCCCGCAACCACTGAGCCGGCCGGCATCCAACGGTGTTAATGTCCAAATTCAACCAATCCACGAAGTTGCGCCACTGTACACCAATGTCTTCAGTGGATGCGCACTGCTGAGGAGTCCCATACTAGGACGAAACGGCCGTACAGTGCTTCCAGGTTTTTCATCGTGGTCTAGCTTCAATTGACTCATGATTTCAACCAGTGAAATTTCTAAAAAATCACCACGAAACCCATTCTGATAATTATAGGATTGACACATTTTAGATAAGTCCCAAACTAGGATAAAACAACAGTTAATGGCTTACTGTTTTAAAAAAATACTTTTTCACTAGCTAAACTTAATTCATGATGACAATATGTATCACAATTCATTATGTGTAGTGTTAACATTATTGATAAAATCAGAATTTCATTATCTCAACTATATGTGTTAAAAACAAACAAACTAGTTGTTGTCAACATAGATATATGATTAGGTCAATTAACGTTAAAATCTAGGTCATTTATTATAATTATTAAAACAAAATGTCACACCTAATTACATCAACAAAAGTAAACAAATAATGAATACAAATGCATATTAGACAGGTAAACATGATGTTACTTAGATATACATAAATCAACAGAATATTATCTAATTTTGATTTATCCTGACAGTAAACGTGTTAAAAGAATTTTTGACATATCTCTATATATTTGATGTTATGACAATTAAGCTGGTTCTAATGCACAATTAAACTGAATAAAACATTGCACAATACTATTTTAAGTATGTCTATTGTTTAGATGACATTTCTTGACATAACACAAAGAAATTATACAATACACCATAGAAAAAGATACCTAAATTAGATTAAAATAATTATGTGCATAACATTCTTTGAACTGACAATCTTGAACCATCTTATTTTTCTACATCATAATTCATTAGTTCAGTTGATATGCTGATTAGATTTTGAATGGTTATAGATACACACACATACACAAACTGAATAATCCCTAATCGTTGTTTCTCTCATAACTATTATATATAAATATGATTGATTAGTGTTTAGTGTTGTGTAACAAAGATTGATAGATATATTTCTTTTTGTCTTCTTATATTAGTGAAGACCCAAACGATCTAAATCTCCAAGAACGTGCATGGTGTCCAGATGCTAAGGTTGGCAAAGAACTCCGTGAATTTATGGAAATTGATTTAGGTCGTCAAAGTATTATCAAGTTAATCATAACAAAAGGTCGAGTAGCTCAAAGTAAAGTAAGTTTCATATTCATCAACTTAATAAATCATTGAATAAAAACACTACAAAGCTGGATTGTTTTATATTGCTTGTTGCTATGAAATTTAATTATTTTTAGATTTCGGTCTAGTAAATTAAATGAATTAACACTCAATGAAATTATAAATCACGTCCGAAACATATCTGGAACTGCATAAAACAATTTGCACCGTGCTTAACATTTATTCTAACCTAGGTAACACAAATATCTTGACGGCCTCTATTCCAACGAAGTTGTCTCTAACCGTGGTACTGTTTGATTTTCTACTCTGTTAGTCAACAAATTTAGCATACAACAAAATAAAACATCAGTTACTCATATCACAAAGAAAATCAAGTGTAGTCGCACTTACTATTCAACAACTTTTTCATAAATAAACAATAATCGACAAACATCTATTATTCTGATCTGTTATCATTTCCAATAAAGTGGTATTGTAACACAAATAATATGACATCGGTTCACACTTCATCAATTCTTACTGGTTTATAAATAACTTTAATTCACAAAGTAGTTAGAAATCGAATCTTTGTGATAATTACTAGTAGTGCCATCGTAAATTGCAATATATCATGGTAGAACGATAATAATGATGCTTTGGAATACAATCGGCAAATTATTCATTTTAAGCTATAACAATTAGGTTCCTTTTTAAAAATGTTATGATACTTACATGCTTTGATAATAAATAGCAAGTAATGGGGTCAATAAAAGAAACAACCTATTGCAAACAGTCTATTTCTAAAAGATATAATGATATGAAGAAGTTTAATCACCTATTGTGTAAAATTCCGGTAAAATTGTTGAATTAATTAGTCGTACCGAAAAATGAGTACTAAATTAATTATTGATATATATATATATATATATATATATATATATATATATATATTTGATAGTTAAATTTCTTCCCGAAGTGATATTGTATTGAATGAGAACACAAGTGGAGAAAATCGAAAGTATTTGGACACAGAATTACAGAGCATCTTAGTAAAATCTGAGAACCATACAGTAATTACTTCATTTGCAAATGTCAATCAACCATCTCAGACTTCACAGTTCGTTCATTTCCACAGAAATTCACTAATATCTTTCTCTTCTCTTCGACGTTCTTAACCTTCTACTACCAGGTATTTCACTTTCGATTAATGATACATACTACTTACATCTGTCAACACCATAGCACAAGCCATAATATCGATTAAACATCTGATTCATTAAATTAGGATTCTCTCTCAGGGTTTGCTTTTTTAGTGCTATCCAAACACAATAGTCCATTGGAATGAGTCTACAAACTCACAATACCTAAGAGAGGATAATACATTCAAACTACTGAATCAAATTGTAACCGTTCATATTTTTTCTACCTAATCTAACTTATGATATAATGTTGTTCACATCCAAAATTATAAGTGTACTAATCTCTTTGGTTTCTTCAGCTGTCCTTCATGGTCACATTCACCACTAAATTACATAAAAACTTTAATGTTTTCAACAATTGATTTATCAAACTAAAGAAGATATATTCACTACTCTAAAAAGAATTTGAGATTCTTTAACATTCATTTCAATCAATATTCAGTGGTTCACAAATGAGGATTGACGCGAAAAAGATTAGAAACTAATTCATACAGTTTTGAAAATACATACTTGTAAAGACATTCACGCACAGTCCTCTGACAACGAAAAACAATCTTTAGTTACTTAGAAGCAACTGGTTTAACTTAACACTATTCAATAAGCTGTACCTATCATACTAATAAAAAGTAATGTTCCATATAAGGTCCGAACTTGCATCATTTAAGGTAAGAATTAGATATTTTACCATATAGCAAATCGTAGCTCTCAGAAAATTCTTTACCTTAGTGATCTAATAATATATCATACAAAATTTACAAACTACCATGTTTTCTAATATACATATATGTTAGTTATCAACTATAATATAATTTAGATTGACATCATGAATGGATCAAGCACTGAACAGTCGTCTCGTTCTAGTTTTGGACTCCTCAGCAATGTTCATCCACGATTCCGCACACGGGATTCGAACTCAGGACCTTCTGTCTCTCACGCAAACGCAAACTCATGGATTCACACAGCTGATGAGTCCCATACTGGGACGAAACGACTGTCCAGTGCTTGCGGGTTTTCAACAGTGTCCTAAAACTGATCCATTCATGAAATCAGTCCAAACTCAACAATCTCCACAATCCCATAATTATATAACGTAATTATCATGAAAATATCCAGTAAGCCCAGAAAATCATCCACCCATAATTTATTTTAATTTATTATTAATTTATTTGATGAATATATGAATATTTGTAAAAGTAAACTAGAAATATTTCATGACTTCAAATAAATTTCATGTTCTGTGTTCAACATTGCTGTTTCATCCCTCTATTTGTTTTTTTGTCTTTTGAAAATGTTACACGAATGATCTACAACGCTGAAGTTTCAAACTTCTTTTTTTAATTCTCTCGATTTTAAATACTGTTAGTGGGTTTTGTTTTTCTTCTCTCTCTCTCTCTCTCTAACTATCCTTCTTCTTATTCTGCGTTTATTGAGTAGTATATTGTGAAAACTCCCAAAGGCATTCTTCCATGAATCGATAAAATATTATATATCATGTCTATATTTGAATAGACGTGTTTTTTTAATAGTAAATATTAGAAGAAAAAAACATTGTACGGTAAAGTTTATGTAGATTTTTGAAAAGAACTGGTTCACAAACCATTAGAAAATTTTATAAATTATTACTATATTTCATTTTAGTTTGTAAGTAGTATAAGCAGAAATATATTGGTGAGACTGAACTCAGTCTATTAATTAACAAGATAAGTGATACACTAGTGGATTTTCGTGTTAAAAGTGGTATAGATAACTGTCATGCTTACTACATGATTATGTTTGTCTTGAAGATCTCAACCAAGATATCTATTCCTATCAAGATGATTGAGAGCAGTTGGCAACGATTTTACAAATCGATGCTACATATGATTCTGAGCTCTTAACGTTTTTCGGTCAAGTCAACTTTCATTTAAAAAAAAAATAGTTTGAAATAAACTTTAGATTACATGAATATGAATTAAAGAGTGTATCTAAACAATACTCGTTTTTCCATAAGCTGATAATGAACGCTTTCTTAAGTGAAGTTAGACGACCAACAATATGATATTTAACAAAGGATCTATTGATTAAAAAACTACGTTTTCAGAAGACAGATTACCTTTAATTAATTGGCGTTAATATTATCAGGAACGTTTATATGAAGTAAACAAGAGACAGGTTTTTGTAGAGAAGTTTTGATGTAAGTGAACCACATGATATGATATTCAGCGGTTAATTGTGACTGCAACCATTATCAGTATACCATCAGATGCTTACATCATCCAAAGAGTATGCACTTAAACATTATACAGTTGACAAATTTTACCAGAAAAATGCAACTATAGCTTCCATCATATCTATGGGAAGCATTCAGATCTTTTATGTAGGACAATACACATAAAAATTTTCATTTCAAACTATTTACTTGATAGATTTAATATACAAAACACATAGACTTTTAACAACCTGTAAATAATTTATATATATTGGTTATTTGAAACTTCACATTGATGTTCAGGGCTGTATTTGATCAGTCTGTTATGGTGCTGAGAAGTTGAATATCAATTAATTGCAATAATGTTAACTAAATTAAATAAATAAAAACTTTCTTCTAAATTTGATTGAATAGTTTCACAGTATTTGGGCGCCGAGTTCGTATGAGACATGAAAGAGGAAGAGTGTATTTGTAAAATCTCAGCGAAAGAATTTGAAGTAAATCCAACGTTAGTGGACCAAATTCCCAGATGAAACGTTGGATTTACTTCCAATTCTTTCACCGAGATTTTACAAATACATTCTTTCTCTTTAATGTTAACTAAATTGTTTGAAATTAACAACAAAGAGTTGTTTACAAACAAACCTCTGTTAGCAAATGATAAGCTATTAGTAACTGTTTCATAATATATGTTAATTGAACTCTTTAATATTGTTAATTAAATTCAGCATATATCTATTTCATTCCTAACTATTCTCATCAATATTCTGGAGAATGATTTGCATTTTTTTATTTCTATTATTTTAACAACAAATCAAGCTTTCTTACCATCATAAATAAATGAAATTTCAACTAGAATTACTCGAATACTAAACAAAATTTAAGCTAACAATCATCCTAGGTACATATTTGTGAGTTTTTTTATTACTTAAGTCAGCCATTTCTTGACGTAAAGTGTTATTTGGCAGTTCGAAAAAAACCCCCAACAAAACAACAACTACATTGTAGTCAATACAATGCTAACATATACATGATAACATACATTTGAATGGATTCAATTACATATTATATCTATTTAAAAGTGAATATAACTTGTAAAACTGAGATTCGATTAACAAGACTGATATAGAAATAAGTATCTAGACTAACACTATCTAACTAGTTAACTAACAACTGTTACTAACTAATATTACATTACACGACATTTTCAGTCTCATTTTACATGACATTCCAAAAAAAAATATAAAAAAAAAATAAACTAAAGATAGTACGTATAATTAGTACTTGAATGTAAAGGAAATAACATGAAATTTTTAAAACTGATTCTAGATTATCAATACAATTTATTGTATACATCTAGTCTATTACTTGAGGAAATTGTGATTTGATTTGATTTTTTTTTACTAAAAAATGATCTAACTTCAACTAATCCCACAATAGGACGAAACGTCCGTCCAGTGCTTCCAGGTTCTCCATGGTGATCTAGTTTCAACTGACTCATGATCATAACTGTTGAAATTACTACAGTCTTCACAAAACCCCTTCTGATACTAAAAATTATCTGTTTTGTTGCCTCTTTTATATTTTATTTTATTTTAAAAAAAACAACATATTTTTGTACTACAGGGTAGACAAACAACACCTTACTTTTATGTAAAATATCGACGTGAATTAACTGCCACATGGTTTGATTATGAAAAAGAAAATGGTACAAAAGTAAGTTGATTTGTATACAGAAATAGTATTATAATAATCTTATGAATTCTATATGATTATTTTAATTCTACACAACTGACTATATCGTGTCACTTCTTTATAATTATTGAAAATATCTTGTATTTGTTATTTATATTTATTCAAATGTCGTATATCAGTAGTGTTTCTTATTCTAGATAGGTGTACTATCAAGTACAAAATATGAGCTCATAGTTTTTTACCAATTGATTTCAACCAACTTATATGTAAACAAATTACATTTTTATGTCTAGTCATTCAGTGTATTCGACACATTGCATATCTCATTTATGGGAAATAAATCAAAACAATGTATTTATTGACAGAATAACTTGTTGATTAATATGTTATCAAAATTGCAGGTTTTCCAGGTATTACAGAAAGCTAGTTATGTCACGTAAAGTCAAATGGCAATGTCTGTGGTTGTAATATTATGTAAGACAAACTGAACACCAGCTATAGCTGTGGAGGTTACTAGTATTCGATCATAGGTGTCTTTGAAACATTGCTCGTATATCCTTGGACCACCGAGTAAGTAATACAGTTGCTAGGAAACGGGTACTAGGTAAGGATGGCAAATCAATTGATGAAGTAGTAAAACTTCATCAGTTGAGATGGCTGACACGTGTTACGTATGCCAACCACTGACTACTCCAACGTGTGGTATTTTATGGTATAGGAGTAGGATGGAAGAAAGTTAGGGGCGTCCAGACCAAAACATGGCACAAATCCATGAAGTGACTGACAAGTGGACTGGGTCATATTTGTAGGTGTAGACTACCTGGTTGGGATCCGCGGGACGATAACAACCGATGGTTAGAGATCTTGAATGACATGGCTCAAAATCGTTTGTGTTCTCCAAAATTCTAATCTTCTTAATTCTTCATGTTCCTTTTTTTCTTTATCCAATTGTATTTTACTGGATTATACTCTTTGAATAAAATCTTCAAACGCTAATCTTTCCGATTACTGCTTTCACTCTTACTACCTCTACCACTACGGGATTTGAATCGACAACTGCATCTCTGTGCTTATGTGGTATAGCAACTCGAACTGATGCACGTACGAACGAAGTTCTACGTTGTTACTGACTGATTGACTGACTATAGCTGTGAATATCTAATGTTAGATGATAACTAGCCTAAGATATAGATTCAAAGCTCTTTGCCAAATGTTTCTAATAATCTTGCATCTAAATAAAGTACACTGCAATATTTAGTCTCTAAAACTATCGGCAAATCCGACAGTATTTAAAACCAAGTGACAAAAGCGATAAACTGATGTAGACGTCTTAGTAATTCTACATATGTTGTATCAATTTTTACATGGATTCTTAAATTTAATATTGAACCAAAGTTTTTCCAAATACCAGACTACATTTCAGCTAGCTTATATCATAGAAGTATGCTAGATGTAATTATAGTAAAAGATAACTAAAGGACATACAAAGTTTCCTTTCCTGAAGATATCTTCTTTTCTTACAAAAAGTTCAATAACTAGATGATCAAAATCAAAAGTTTTAATAATCCGAAAATACTACTTATTTTATGTATTAGTGGTGCATTGATATGTTTTGTCATTCAAAGGGAGTAAATCATCTTCTTAAGAATTTCAAACACTCAGGCTTCAAAAGTTACATTTAGAGCACTGGTCAGAATGAAAAAAAAAGATCCATGTTATCGATCATAATAGTATCAATAATCAATTGTTTAATTTCATTTATATTTTAGCGCCTTGCTGGTAACCAGGATGCCATGACAGAAAATTTTAATACAATGGATCCACCATTTGTAGCACGTTATATACGTATTTATCCATACAGTTTAGAACCAACCAAAACTTGTTTAAAATTAGAATTGTTAGGCTGTGAAGCAAGTAAGTGTATCAATTGTTTAAATATTGTAAAATAAAACGTTACTTTTATTTATGCTGTTAAGTAATAGGTAAATTATTAGCAACTTCTATTCAAAAATTATAATGAACTTAATATCCATTTGTCAATCAAAATTTGTTACATAATATTTGATAGCCTAATATATAATTTCACAGGTTGAAATCATGAGTCGATTGAAGCTAGACCACCATGGGAAACCTCGAAGCACTGGACGGCCGCTTCGTCCTAGTATGGGGCTCCTCAGCAGCGCGCATCCACGATCCCGCACCACGCGGAGCTCGAATCCAGGACTTACTGGCTTCGCGCGCGAGCAGTTAACCACTAGACCACTGAGCCAGCATCCAACGGTGTTAATGTCTAACTTCAACCAATCCACGAAGTTGCGCCACCGTACACCAAACGCTATAGCGTTTGAAGCGAATGGTACTGGGTTCGAGCCCCAGGGTGAACGTCAACTCCGAGATGCAGGTACATCCAGGTGACAAGTGCCAAATAGGACGAAACGCGCGTCCTGGATTCCACTATCCACTATCCATCATTGCTTACTAATATATAATTATTCGTATTTTTCTAAATGCCTACTTTGATATGCTGACAAGTGTTATTTTACTTAAATAAATGATGTTGAAACAAATGAAAAAGGTTGTTTCGAAATTGAATGCACCACAAAAAAAGCTTTTCTAATAAATTGTGAAGCTAAATTCAAAACGATAAAAAATTTATGTATAAACGATTTCCAACTCAAATTGATATGTATTTGAGAACCAATTGAACACCTACAAGTCATAAACACACTCGCCAAGCATGGGTCCTATCATTTATATCTTCACTGAGGATCGAACTTAGTACATTTCAGTCTAGTAGAAAGTGGGTTACAATCAAATTACTGATTTGTAGCCAAATAAATTAAATTTTGAACCCTTTGATATGAAAACAACAACTATAAATAAAAACATAAATTTATTCTTAGTTATGACGATAAGCAAATCACAAATGTTCTTTTATTGTTCCTGATATTACCAATATATCTTCTGTAATATGTATTTCAATAAAATTGGTCGATTTATTCTAATCGTATATTTCTTTCTTCATCATTACCATTTTTTAGATGGCATTTTAGAATACAAGGCACCTGAAGGAGCATTGTTGCCTGAAACTATTTCTCCTTCTTATCAACACTATAATAACAATCCATCAAATGAACGTACACGTTTATTAGATACAACGTATGATTCAAAATCACATAAATTTCGTTTATTTGATGACATACAACAAGATTTTATTCACGATAAATCATATGAAACAATCATAGAAGGTGGTTTAGGGAAATTAACTGATAATGATACAGAATTTAAAACAAGTACTAGGTGAGTTATTTAACTGTAAAGTATTAGTTTAAATGTGTTTTTTTATTATAAAACTTTATGAATTTTTGTTATTCTCTCATGATGCTAAGAAGTAGAAGTCAAATTAACAGTGTGATTTTATATAAAATAATACTTATTCATAAGAACAGTGGTGAATATAGAGTGTAAAAACTACAGAACTACAACTAACCTCTTCCTTTAATATTTATGTTTTGCAAACTTTCATGTAGAGAGGATAACATAAACTCTTCGAATAGTCACCAACTAAGAACCATTATCACACAAATATTTTATGCTATCAAGAGTTTGATTTAACCGGTAAACCTACTTTAGTTACATTCCTTCCACATATATTTACCTATTTACTTGTAAGATAGTATCACCCGAGTTACAACAATTTGAAGAATCACTGAACATGTACTAAAGAAATTGATGGTGAATGACCTTAAAGTTACGAGTGTTAGCACATCAATCAGTTCACAAAATGAGTCTATAAACATTTAAAAGAATAACAAAGGACAACAGTAGGAACCAATAGTGTTTTACAGATATGGCAGCATATCGTGGTACATGAACTATAAAATAAGTGTTCGTGGTAAACATCAATTGAATGAAGGATTAGAATTAGTGTTATTATTGCAAGTTTTGTCTGATTATACTTGAATAAATAATATTTTACAATTGTGTACAATCAGAACACGGAAAAAAACAGTAAGAAAACTCGATAAGATTTAAACTTGATACGTTCATTCAAACAATTTTAAAGAGGTTTCAATGTATCATTATCATTATTAATATTATTAATTTATATTTCATTATATTCTATACATTTTCATTTGTTTTATGATTATCTTTAAGGTTATTAAGCTTGTTATTTTTATCACAATTTCAAAATTTATTCACCTCATAGGCAGATATATATGGTGATTAGCAGTGGAACCTAGGACACATTTCATCCTATTTGAGACTCGTCATCTGGATGGACTTGCATCCCAGAGTTGGTATTCACTCCAGGACTCTAAACCAGTACCCAATAAGGCGAAACGTGCGTCCTGTATTCTACTGCTAGCCACCATCCACCTCTGATTATATTGCTTGCGACTTAAACCAAAATCGATGTAATCTGTAAAGGATGGACATATCCCAATAAGCGACTGGTCAACTTCAGTTATAAACATCAATGGAAATATTCAAATAATTAATAAAAGATGAATTTAATCCCCTTAAATATTAACTACACAAGTCTTCATACTTTTTAAATTTCTTATATCTAGTCGAATTATAATAATGAAAATAATTACTTTTGTTATTATTACCATGATTACTTTATCAGTTTCATCGTCCCACCCACGTTATTAACAATAGCTTGCACGCAATTGAATGTTTGCACAAATTTCTGTATGATTATTTTTTTCATGAGTAGGTTGAATTACCCTGTGAATATATTCATACAAAACTATTCTGTATTATTCCTGACATAATATTTTACACATATTAAATGAAATAAATATAAGTCATTCCACTGTATCTGTTGTTCTTCTCTTACAAATATCGTTGATTGTCAATAGTATTGATCTTGTTCGATCATCTACTATTACATACAACAAATGAATGAAGGTTATCATAGAACGTGTACATATGCTAAAGGTTCCAATTTTTATTCATTTAATGTTTCATTAAGCAACTTAAACTAAACTATTTTTAATAGTTACACAATACTATACTATACTTAACTAACAACTAAACTATATGTTATTTAATAACATTGTTGTCAAGTAGTTTAAATGACTTAAATTCACTGCTTAAGAATACATACAACTAATGTAATTGTTATTTTAAACACTACACCATTATTTATTCATATAATCAACACTTAAACATATATAAATGTCACAATTGATTGATCACTGGGTGGCAATCAATGTCATGTGTGTCTAGTCCTTATTAGTGCAGATCGAATGCTATCGACCATGTTGCAATGTGGCTACCAATCTAGGTGACCCAACATTAGTCGATAGCATTCGATCTGCACTAATAAGGACTAGACACGCATGACATTGATCGCCACCCAGTGATCAATCAATTGTGATTACATCTCAGTCCTACAGGAGGTCAGTCGCGGCTCGGACAGCTTAGTGATAACGTCTCTGACTGTGAAGCTGAGTGACATGAGATCGAATCCGCCAGAAAGCACCAGTTCCCTCAAGATTACAGGTACACCTTGCTGACGAGTGCCAAGTAGCACGAAACCCGGTTCCAGGGTTTCCTATTAACTACCTCCAACGACCATCTAATATATAAATGTCGTTAAATTCAAAATCAATTGTAATAAATGTATATTATTTATTTGAATATTTGTTATTCTATTTTTTTTTATATTCGTATTTTTGTTCACTCAGCCCTTTCTCAAGTCATAAATTTATTGGTTGGAGAAGGAAATTATCCACAGGACCGTTAAGTATGACATTATCAAATCAATCATTTGTGAATACTTTAACCTCAAATCATAATGCAGAAATGGAATCAGATTTTCTTCGTATAATTTTTCGATTTGATATGATATATAATTTCTCGTCAATACGGATATATGTGTCAAATGATTTTTTAGTTGGTTTAACAATACCACGAAATATCACAGTTGGATTTAGTTTCCATGATCCATCTCTTTATTACTATTATCATTATGGTCAAAGTAGACAGCAGAAAAGTGATCAGCGACAAGAACAACATAAAGAAGAAAACCCATGGTCATCATCCATTCTTTATCAGTTAACACCAGATAAACAAAACACTGATTCTCGTTGGATTGTACTACCAATACATGAGGCGACCAGATCGAATTATGCAATACAAGCAATCACAAAACAAGTATCCCATAATCCAGGACAGTTAATACAGAATAATAGTGATGTAGAACAGTTGAACATATTCGGATTAGGACAATTTGTAGAGATAAGAATATTTTTCAATAGTCAGTGGTTGGCTATTGGTGAAATTTTATTTGAAAATTGTAAGTTTATGTTGGAATAATATTTTGCAGTTGGTATAATCTTTTTTCCTTTCTGTGGTGAAAATCCCGTCCTAAATAAACATTCGTATAATAGTAAAACTTCATCTTGTAAAAACTACGTTTTTTATCTAAAAAAATTTAGTAGTTAGTAGCCTTAGAAACCTTTAATTATGGTCTCTGAAACCAAGTGAGACTAATTTAATCATCATCTGTTGTCAAACAGGTATTTAACGGTAGTGAACTATTTACCAAAAATAAAATTAGTATGAAGAAAAACCCGAGATTTTCTAGATTACTTCATATACTACTCATTGACGTAGCTAAAAAATAGACTAACAGTCGAATTCGCTTTGATGACATGGTGTCAAGTCTAATTCCATTTGAGTAAACTCACAATATTGTTTAAGGGCAGAGGAATACACGATATGATGGATCGCTCTTGATTTATAGTAGAAGATAAATTATCATAGTCACATGGTTTCGACAGTTATATAAACACCTTAACCGAACACTAGTGTTAAGTTTATCTATTGATTATCTGTTTATTTTCACAATTTGAAAGTACAAAGTGGGTAGCAGTGTAATCCTAGATGCGTATCATATCGTATTTATGACTTTTCAGTCAGATGTACCTGGATCACTGTGCTGGTGTACAAATTAGGACTAAAAATCAACAAATTTCATTCCAAACTTTTGATGTATTATCCACTAAGCTTCTGAGTACATACAGTCATCAATTTGTTCAATGGAGATGATTAAAATTTTTCCCAGTAATGATATAAATATTATGAATTCGTTTTATTCTGTTATCCTCTCGTCAGCTGTTTATAATCTGTCCTATACCATTATGTGTATATGAGAAACATTCTACAATATTAGTAATAAGAAATGTTAGCTTAGCAAAGACTTCACATCTATACTTATTTTTTCTGGATGATAATAATTACAATTATAATGGTCGTGACCAAACCATCCAATTCAGAGAAAAAAGTTCCATCAAAATAAGCATAGATGTTTACGACTGTTCAGCTTCGAAAATGAATTCGTCGAAAAGAGAACACTTCACTGAACTAATCTTTCTTATTTAATGTCTTAATCAATGTATTCCGTTTATTAATATTATTAGTAGCCAAAGATCATATTTTTTTTAGAAATAAGTGATCAATTAATGATCAGATATTAATAATATAATAGCCATTGAGCAGTTAGTTAAAATAAATTTATTGGATTTAAAGAATCGGATACTTTATCGTTTTGCATATGTATATACTTCATATCTCACAATTGATTTGTCACTAGGTGGTGATCAATGTCATGTGTGTCAAGTCCTTATTTAGTGCAGATCGAATGCTGTCGACCATGTTGCAATGTGACCACCAGTCTAGGTGACTCCAACCACCATCTAATCTCAATAATTCATTTCTCTATACACTAACTATTCATTTGATCATCTCTTAGATTTTCCACAATATTTTGTAGGCTATTTATAAACCATTTCTTTTTCGTTTTCCACAGAAAAAAATAATTCTAGTAGAAACAAGAAAAACAGTGTAGAATTATCTTTAAACTCGATTAAAGACAGTGGTGGATTCTTTTTTCCAAATCGGTTTTCATTCTTGTTAGCCTTTTTCCCCCCAGTTAGTTTATCTCTCTTTTCCTACAAAATGAAAGTAGGATATAAAAGAGATGAGCCTTAACTTAATATTCTTGTTGTAAAACAAAACGAAAATGATATTTCATTAATCATCTAGTCAGCGGAATATGAAAAATCAAAATAAATATAAATTCTAACCGTATAACATTTAGTATATACTAAAAAAAATAATAAATATATTGGTCATGCTTTCTAAACAACAGCCGGAAAGATATAAAAAGATTGGATATACTACACAAAAAAAGACAATGTCCTATAATCACTTCACCAGTTAAGTGCACTACTATTCATGGGACACAAAACATCGATTAAAGATCTCGAGGTAAATCTGTTTTGGTCTCTTCTTCTCAGTGGTTTTCGAGTGAATTTTATGGTCTTAATGTCTACCTTCAATTCTTGGTGCCATGTGTTATTTGGTCGACATCTTTTTCTTTTACAATAAAAATTACAATTTACTGCCTGGTATATGATGTAGTTTAATGCATTTCGCAAAATATATCCCATCCATCTCCGGCGTCTTTTCTTAATCTCTTCCTAATTTAAAATAGGTTATTACTAATGGTCCCGGATCAACGGATCTAGAGTGTTGTACGTGGAAAACAATTTATAAGTGCCTGTACATTTTTGGTGATGGTAGTATCTCAAGTTTCGGCCCTGTACAGTATATGCGTTTTAAAATCACTGTTCAAAATTATGTCTTTGATCTTAGGTGACATTTCTTTTGAGTTTTGTATATTCTTTGGCTGTAGAAATGTTCCCCTTTCTTTACCAATTTGTGCCCTCAAATCTTGATCTGATACCTCTTGTTTACCATATTGTTGATAAACTAACTTGCACTCACAACATAAGACTTCACAACTAAGCCTATAATAAGATTGATGGTGACAATCTTGTCAGGTACTTCATAGTGTCAAGTAAGAGTCTACAAGGTTTTCTTATCTCAACTGTTGAACGTTTCTTTTCATATTCAAGGGATTTGATGTATATTGATGAGTTTCATTCAACTAATTGCTCAGCAATAGTCTGGAGTGTCACGACTTGATCTATACTTACGAAATCCAGCCTGCCGATCCCAAATATGGGTGTGGATTATTGATGCCATTAATTGTAATCATTTCCCTTTTTGCTTTGAAGAATACTTTGATGATTTTAAAACAATAAGATTTCTATCCAACAAGAACTTTAGTGAGTTTGTGGAAATAATCCATGCAACTATTATGTGTAAAGCATTTTCTTCTTTATAATCAGAATACAATGAAAGCTCTTCCAAAGTTGATTTTTCTCCATATTGCGTCTAATTATTTTCTTTGTTCCAAGCAAAGTTAGATTGTAACGTCTCAGTTCTGTGGCTACATGAAGGACCCTCCAAGTTTCAAAAAAATTTCTGATATTCTATGCGTTTCGATTAATTGTTATTGTGGTTATCAGAGGGTCATCAGCTTAATGGTTTCCGGATACTTCTTACTTTTACCTTGAGGCCTCATAACATTGCTTTACTACGACACTCAAACTCCCATTGTCTAATAGATATAACTGTCTTCTCCTGGCTGGTATTTTTGTATCGAAGTTCTTTTTTAATGAGGTGGGGTCGATAATCTTACCCTTGACTGTCTACCTTTTTCTATGGTATCAGACCGGCAGAATTTTAATCAGGTTTCAAGAAGAGTTATCGATTTATAGTTGATTGGATTCAATTTTTAAGTATTAGCCGTAAAATAAAATTTGATTAGTTTACAGCATGTATCATCTCTAAAACAAACTTTATTCTTTTGAAGTTCAGATAACAGACAAGTTACAATAATTACAATGAATATTGAGAAGTAAACATTAGATAATTTAATTTGATTACTTTATCATTAATTTACCCAATTTAGTTTTTTGTAAATATGCACATTTTTATACAATCCATGAATTACTTTCATTTCATTGTATTATATAAATATAGATATTTTCCTTCAGGGAACTAGTTTCATTTCAACAAATAAGTAGTAATTTTTATTCTGTAATTTATACACTAAACTAGTTTATGAGGTAAATTTACATTGTAGTGTATTGGACGAGAACACAACTGGAGACGAAATTACAGAATGTCTTAGTAAAGTCTAAGAACCATAGAGTAAATAATTCATTTGCAAAATATCAATCAATTGTCTCAGACTTCATTGTTCCTTCGTTTCCACACCAAGCATTCAGTATTCACTTTCTATTTTCTTCAATCTTCTTAAACTTCTGCTGTCAGATATTTCACATTCGACTGATGATACATACTACTTATATCTATCGACATCAGTAGCACACACTACAGTAGTATTTACAAAAAATAAAGTTTATTACGGTGAATAATAACATTATAAAGCCCATGATTTTTAGCATTAAAATAGGTAATATCGATTATTTTATTGTTGTACCATGAAAAAGCGAACTGAACTTCTTTATAACGATGAAGTCATTGATAAAAGCTTTCCAAAGTCAAAACTCAGAAAAAATACATGTATATATACGCTCATATATTTATATTAATTTCCTAATCAATCACGGAATACGGATTTTGTGGATTGGTTGAAGTTAGACATTACCATCATTAGATGCCAGTTTAGTGGTCTAGAGGTTAAGCATTCGCGAGCGCGACAGATAGATCCTGAGTTCGAATCCTGCGGGCAGGATCGTGGATGTTCACTGCTGAGGAGTCCTATGCTAGAATGAAATGGTCGCCCAGTGCCTTCAGGTTTTTCATGCTGATCTAGCTTTAGTTAACTCATGAACTCAACTATGAAATATAGATTTAACAAGACGTATCATATATATATATATATATATATATATATATATATATATAAACGATTTCGTGATAAAATTGTTTTCATCTGATAACAGAACTTGTTTTCACTGTACCTATTCGCATAAAAAACTCTCCCTCTTTGTCTTTCCCAGAAACATTCATACTTCTCACCTGAAAATTATTACTTCAGCTAGTAATGTGTGACTAAATGTCTGTCTAATAAACCTCAATAATTAGATGTTAATGATAGTCATTAAATCGAAGTAAACAAATATAGAATAACTTCTGAAGTATTTGTATTGATTTAGCATAAAACATGTCTTACTTACAAGTGATTACGAAAACAAATTATGAGTTATTATGAAATCTAATGTAGTGACAGCTTTGGAAACATTCATTATTTGTTTCACTGATAATAACTATGTTGTACAAAAGCAATCGGAATGCAGTGACTATTTATATTACGCTTTGTATAAAACTACTGGTAATTACTAGTTGATTGGAAAGAATTCATGTTTTTTGTATGTTTCATTCAAAATAAAATGACTGATAATCATGAATGGTAAAGCTTGTCACTTCATGTAACCTGTATGTCATTGTTTCAAGATTACGAAACGTTTCAGATCAGTTATCTATAATATATTTGTGATGTAACACGATCACAACCAAATATTGTCCATGAGTAGTCTTCCCTTACGAGTTTGTCGATTGTACACATAATTGAATTTCTTAAAGAAAAAGTGAAAATCTATTTAATTGCTATTTATCAATATAGGAGTTGTGGAGATCATTAAGTTTTTGATTGAAATCATGAACCAATTGATATTAGACCACCGTTGAAAACCTGAAAGCACTGGACATTTGTTTCGTCCTAATATGGGACTCCTCAGCAGTGAACATCCACGATCCTACCCCGCGAAATCCAAACCCAAGACCCATCGGTCTTGAGCGCGAACACTTGACCTCTAGACTACTGAACTGACATCTCATGGTATTCATATCTAACTTTAACCAATTATTTTAATTATTTACTATTAAATAAATTAGGAGTAGGATATGTGCGTAATTGTTAAACATGAAGTCAACTAAAATCAAATAGTAAATAAACAATTATTTCATCTCTACGTTTGTTTTTTTTTCGTTTACAATAAACTAAAATAGTTTTCACATCAATGTAAATATCACAAATTATTTTCACTGATTTTTACACTAACCCTTAAACAACAATAAAACTTTGAGATTAACATCATACGATTATCACTAACTTAACATAAATACATACATACATACGTATAGATGTAAATATAACGAATTGAGTCCCGTTCGCTTGTTATTATTTTTCTTGTTTAAATAAATACTGCAAAGTAAAACAAAAGCTCTAGCGGTTTATTTGATGTTTTTGATAACTAAATTTAAAGAGAAACATTTCATTCTACTGTTATTTCTGTAGGCCTATGCTCTTTTCTTGAATCAAGTAGTTTATAAATAAAGTAAGTAGATAAGACTAAAATAAAAAGTGTAGAAACAGTAACAATAATAATAATAAACAAGTTGAATCTCTTTGCCTCTTGTTTTCTTTTCTACATATTTTATGTTTTTCTAATTTTCAAGAAAAAAATATGATAAGATCTTTATGAGTAATTCTATTCTGTTTTCTTTTTTCACTGTCCAATTTTTTTTCTTTTTAATTTGTGTTGTTAAGAGAGAAAAAAAAAGTCAATAATTTAGTTCTTCTATTCAGTTACTGATTCATTTATGATGCTTAACAATAGTTTTTTTTTTCTATTAATTTTCTTTTTTTGAAATAAAATAAGGTATGGAAAATGTAAGTGGAACTTTTCAATATGTTAGTTAAAAGTAATTGAAGTAATTATAAGACACTAAAGAGGAAGAACATGTTTGTAAAATCTCGTTGAAAGAATTGGAAGTAAATCCAACGTTTCACCTGGAAATTTGGTCCACTAACGTTGGATTTATTTCAAATTCTTTCGTTGAGATTTTACAAATACATTCTTTCTCTTTAATGTCTCACATGAACTCAGCGTCCAAATATTGTGAAACTATTCGTTCAAATTTAGACGAAAGTTCTTATGAAGTAATGATAAGTTTAGAATATATTTTTAGTATTCAATGATTTGAACTATCCAATTTCTATCTATAAATAGGTCTTAGTGATTTTATGACATTTACAAATGGATAATATAGCATTTTTGTTTGGTTAAAATTAACGATTGGACAGTATCAAAATTGATTGATCACTGGGTGGTGATCAATGTCATGCTTGTCTAGTCTTTATTGATCACCACCCAGTGATCAATCAATTGTGATTACATCTCAGTCCTACAGGAGGTTAGTCACGGCTCGGATAGCTCAGTGGTAACGTCTCTGACTGTGAAGCTGGGTGACACGAGATCGAATCCGCCAGGGAGCACCATTTTCTCTCAAGATTACAGGTACACCTTGCTGACGAGTGCCAAGTAGCACGAAACCCGGTTCCAGGGTTTCCTGTTGAATACCTCCAGTATGTTTTGTTATGTTAATATCTAGACAAAGCGGAAAGATTTGTTTTTCTTCTTCAAACCATACACAATATAATATCTTTTCATTTTGTGTTATTTAATCAGTTATAAACAAAATACGATTTACACCTACACTTTTTTAAACCTCATATGAGCATAGTAACAGAAAAAGCCAATAAGATTGAAGGCAAAGATAGCGAATCATAACCCATGGTAATAAATATATTTATTTATGTATAAATAAACAATGTTGTTTAATATATATAGTAAAGGTTACTAAAAGTACTCATAATACAAAGTAATATTAAGGATTTTAATTAAAAAGACTCATGTCAACAATTATGAATTACATAATCAGATTTCACACCGTAGTTCTCTAATTCCTAGACTTTTTTCAATCCATTTTTGTGATAGACACTTCTTAATTGAGATATATAATGAATACCATAACTGCCTCAGGTAATTACAGTCTTAATCCACAACAATCTGTGCTTAGTACATCTTGTCTAAGCTCATTAATACTCATTTATTGGTTTCAGAATGTACAAGCAGTGCATTGTAAGCAATTGTATTCAAACAAATATTCTCAACTAGAAAATCAGGTTCAAAAGATATTAGCATTCTGATAGGAAAGCCTAAACCTCTCATCATCTAATAATAAAATAAGTATCATTTGTCACTCATTCAGAGAAATTAAATGAATAACTTTGGAAACTACTATTTCGACAAAAGATGTACAACTTGGTCTGTTTGTGAATAAAAGCTTCAATTTGTATTTTATTTAGCTAATTAAAAGTTGTAATCAGCTGATGACTGTTAAATCGCTTGCTTCTCTTGGTTATTTGGTTCAATGAATCAAACAAACTAAATATAAAGTGAATGAATTATAACTTCATATTTCTTTCTTTCTTGTGAAGCTGTAATAACATGCTTTTTTGATTAACATTATTTATACATAACTTGATCATTTTATAGTTTATTCTAGAGTATAGAATTGTTGTGTGAAAGTCAATCTATTAATTATCATATACTGACTGTTTTATCCATTTAAACAACTTAAAAAACATATTATTAAGCTTGCTATCCATTCAATGATAAATTTTATGTAAATAATCATAAGTAACTGTTCTTATTAGAAAGGGGTTTTGTGGTGATTGTAGTAATTTAATAATTAAATTCATGAGTCATTTAAAGCTAGACCATCGTAGAAAACCTGGAAGCACTGGACGGCCGTTCAACCGGGTCTCTTGTGAGATAGTAACTCATTAAAGACAATGGTGGACGGTAGCACGATTTCGTGAATTGGTTGAAGTTAGACATTAACACCATTAGATGCCGGCTCAGTGGTCTAGAGGTTAAGCGTTCGTGCATAAGATCGATAGGACATGTGTTCGAATCCTGCGAGGCGGGATCGTGGATGGTCACTGCTTCGCAGTCCTATACTGGGACAAAACGGCCATCCAGTGCTTCTAGGTTTTCCATGGTGGTCTAGCTTTAATAAACTCATGAACTGAACTATTAAATTAATTGTTCTTAATGAAGTTAATTGTTCATGAGTACAACGTTCTCATAAGTAATAAAAAAGCACAGTGAAGTTATATGGTGGAATTGATTAGTCATTACAGTTTATTAGCTTATTCACAATTTTAGCTTTTATAAACATATACAATTCCTATTTCAGTGTACTTTTTTTCCATTTTATTGAACATTTTGTAGTAAGAATGCCTCATTTAAAATTTCAACCTGAAAGAAATGATCCTAATGAATCAAATCATCAAGAATTTCGATTAACATCTACAAGTCTTCCATATTTACTAAATGAACACTCTTCAACATTAAATAATCCATTGGGACAAACAACAACTTATGTACTTGCAATAATTTGTAGTCTTTTAGTAATATTAATATGTTTCGGTTTATTCTGTTTATTTTGTGTTTGGGGACGTGAACGTTTACATGTAACATTTCGTCATAAATTTAATAGAAAAAATAAACGATTTAGTGATTCTACACAATTTGATTCAAATCCAAGTGTAAATAATAAAACAAACGCTCAAAATGTATCATTATTAACAGAACAATTAAAAATAAATAATCTTATGAATAATGTAGTAGTTACAACAACAAATGATACAATCGGAGATATACAATATCAATTTCAACATCCTCAAAGATGTCAAGAATCAACTATAAGACTACCTAGTACAACGGCTTATTTAGGTGGATTTCAATATTTAACAAGTAATGGAATAGCACCAATTAGTATTAATTTAACTACAAATTCATTACATCAACCATTTCAACCAGTTGGACTAGATAATAATAATCATCATAATTATCCTGCACATATTAATTCAAATAATCTATTTGGTTCATTATCGAACGAACGTAGTGCTAATTTAATAACAACTAGCATTCCCGGTACAAAATCATTTGATCTGAAAGATTCACTACCAGTTGTATCACTTATGACCCAAAATGTAAGTTTCACTTACTATAAAATGTGTTTTATGATCATTTTATCTTATTTAAACTTTTTTATAAAACACTCGCTAGTGAAACAATATATAAATTAAGTATAATGATTGTTGTGACTTTAAACCCGGCTAGTTATCACGTGAATTATTTGCCAATGTAAATACGACTTATTCAATCACAGTACTGTGCTAAGCCAATGACGTTCGTCTGGTATGAGCAGCCTAGCGTCCTTATTTATCCTTTGTTCACCTAGCCTGTCCAGTTGAGTCCAGAACACCAATAGCAGCTTCCACCATGCAAATCATTTATTCCTAACATACTGGCTTTATATACCAGCCAAACAGACTGCATCACACCATAAAATAGGAAATAACATTTGTACAAGATCATGCCAAAAAGTGGCTGTGAACATGGGAGACTGTTATCAATAAACTGAATATAGCTTAAGGACAGCAAATCGTATAATAATAATCTATAGGTGAAGATGAAGCTTATAATAAAAAGAATATAGATATACATAATCTAGCTACTGAACAGTTATACGATAGGAATATATATATATATAATATTATTCCATTAATAGTTCTCAGAGTTTACCGAGAATTTAATGTTCACTGGTTAGCGTATTTTTAGCGAGTTAGTTTGCTACGGGATAGGGTTGCTTACCCCATGCCCAGCCATCCTTTTCTATCCGGGCTTGGAACCGGCAGTATACCCAGCGGAGCTTAAGGCGAAGTTAATTTAATCTTCACTAGGATATAACAATGATCATTAAACTTTATACAGTATTATCTTTTTTTATTACTGTTCAAAATGATCAACTAGCTTCTAAATATAAATCGCCTGTACAGTAGTGATTTAAAAAGTATTTTTCATTCAAGATATAGACTTGATTGTATATAATGAATAAATAATAAAAGATTAAAGCAGTTGGATATCCCTAAGCACGTTGGAATATTTCATTTGTATTTTCAAGAAATGATCAAAACAATTATTATGAAGTTTAATTCAATTGGTATTGTTTTACTTGAATCTTCCCATTGATGTTTAGGACTGAAATTGATCACTCTGTTATTGGTATATGTGCATACTGTGCGTATTGCCTCGATATTGCCTTAATTTGCAAGCATCCTACTGTTAGCCACTATCCATCTCTGCCTATAATGCTTGTAAATTAAGGCAATATCGAGGCAATACGCACAGTATGCACATATGCCAATAACAGACTGATCAATTTCAGTCCTAAACATCAATGGGAAGATTCAAGTAAAACAATACCAAGTGAATGAAACTTCACCCTGTTGCACAAGCAAGTGGCTGTCAGGACTCAGTAGCTAAGTGGATAACGCGATGATATTTGAAGTGAATGGTACTGAGTTCGAGTCCCAGAGTAAACAACAACTCTGAGATGCAGGTACGAAACGCACGTCCTGGATTCCATTGCTAGCCACTATCCATCTCTGCTTATAATTATTATGAAGCTTTTTAGTATTCAAGGAATGAATGTCTCAGGTTAAATTCTTTAAGTTTATATTTCATATAGATCATCTATGGTAGATATTTGTAAAATCTGATATAGATATATGAAAACGTAATATAAAATTATTATGAAGATGAATCAATAAAGACTAGTAAATTTTGCTAGATAAAATGAATCAGTGATTTCAATAATTACTTTCTTTGAACTTTCATATGTAACCTTTTGTTCAGTGTAAAAATGTCATATAAAGGATGTGATTATGACATCATACATCTTACTAAGAATCTTATGCATTCACCTAGACATGGACCGTTTGGTTAAACCGATGTTAAAAATGTCCAAATATACCATATATGCTTTAATAATTATATAAGTTTTATGTATATTTATAATCTTTTCTCTTAAAGTTTATTCCCGCTGGATCTATGACTCCACATTTCCATGGAACATATTTAAGATCCGATGAGAATATTTTAAATAATATTAATTATCGTAAAGCATGTCATGATAATTCAATTTATACAAGTCTACCTGGATCCGATTGTGATTCTCAACCGTATGCAAAAGTGGACACAGTAAACAATACATTGATGCAACAATTTCAATCAAATAATTCTAGTATAGATCTATCACAACTTAATATTTCTTATAATCATTGTAATGGAGATAATCGTTTATTTAATCCAATGAATTTACCTCCACCACCAAGTCTTCCATTACCTCCAACACCGGAACATTTAACAACAACAATCACATCAACAATAACAACAGTGTCATCAATAACAACTTGCTCACAAACAATTCATTTAAATAATAGAAATGAATTCAATCATGATTCCATGTCAATAAATAAAACTAATAATAACACACTTTTTACATATAATTCTAATGTAAACAAATCTATTCCAAATAATGATATAACTACATGGTTAGATTCGAATGGACAATTTATTTCTATATCTAATCCTTTATTTGATACCAGTTTAGGTGTAGATCCAATTAATATGAATAATAGAAATAATTTTCAAAATTTTTCAGGTAAGTGTTTTTTCAAATGCATATGAAATATAGTTTAAATATTGGAAAGAAATATGGGATCATTTATGTCAGAAGGCATTGTGGCATTCATTTAACATCAGTTCTCTTCAAGTATATTTTGAAGTTGATTCTTATCAAGCAGTAAAAACAACTGAATAGTGAGAATAGTTTTCATTGTATACGAGATCCTCCATAAAATAACCTAACTAATGCGTAGAATCCTACGAGTGCAATGCTTTATAAAAAAAATTCCAAAACCTAGTCATAAGTAATTACCGAACAGAAAATAAACTAATTACCCCTACTGATTATTTCAAATCTAGAACTTGCTGAAGTTTAATTGATATTAAAATTATAAAGTGTTAAATTTCAAATCTATGAGGAAGTATCATTGTGTTCATCGTGTTAAGTGAATTGTCTGGGTTCTGGGTTAAGAAAACGAACAGTCCCACGATACCATTTTGATATTACCGGTCATCTAACTGTATTCAATCTATGATGAAATCTGTTTCGAGTTTCCTACTTAATAACAATTGATAGAAACACCTTTATTTTTATTATATATATGTATATATACATCGTTCTTCATAAGAGGATATATTTTCATACAAAAGAAATAGTTAGAAAGCAATTTAATGATATTGTGGTGTATTCTACTGATATCGACAAATATAAGTAGTGTATATCATCAGTCGAAAGTGAAATATCTGACAGAAGAAGTTTAGGAAGAGAGGGAAGAAAACGAGAACAGTGAATGATTGGTGTGAAATTTAAGGATCACTCAAATTTCAGACGATTGATTTATATTCTACAAATGAAGTATTTACTATATGGTTCTGAGATTTTACTTAGACATTCTTTAATTTTGTATTGAAATATATTCGTTTGTCTCCGCTTGTGTTCTCATTTACAACAATATGATTTTCTTTTCTGGATAATTATTCATTTAAAATTGTCATCCCTGTAGGTGTATGACTATTAAGTGAATATTGTTACTAGTTTATTTTGTAATATAATAATAAATGAGTTACATTCATATTTCTAATTCCATCCAAATAGTAGAATAATTATACAAAATCTAGATAATATTAGGTAATTGATATAGATACAAATGAAATAACCCATCTATACATGAATATCTATTAGTCATTCAACTTTAGTTTAACATGAAATGATGCATCTGACAATGAATATTTTAAATATTCTGTACAAATGATTTATATTAACAATGATAATGTCTATCATAAGGTTATAAACTAACACAATCTAAATGAGTATAATAAATAACCCAAAAATGTACATTCTAATTCAGAAAATCATAGTTTTGCTTTTGTTTAAAACAATTTCTTTTTTATCACACACAAAGAAAACAACAGTTTGTCTCATTCAAATAGAAACTGAACTGAAATTTTTGACGCCCAACTCTTTAAAATGGAGTATTTCTCCTTTATAAAAAACAACAACAACTAATGATGGCTCCAATCTTTCGTTTAGAAATAAGTAGTATACTGATCAAAATACAGTTCTGTAGGATAGTTATATACTCTTCCAGTTTAAAATAAATTATACAATTTATGATTATGGTTTAAAGATATTTCATTCTCAATTCAAAATGAACTATATTTGAATAGGATAGTTGTGTTGAGTTGGTTTTCCGAGAACTGCAACGGAGCCTCCAGAGGCCCTAAAGAAGCCGAAGAGTCCTAGCCAATCAGAACATGATGGAGCTTTCTAGAATGTCAACGTGGCGTGCTACCATTGGTCAGTAGCCCAATATGTCTTTTAACGGATTGGCCAAAATGTGATGTTGATTTAACAAGTGTTAACATCTATAAATACCCGCGTTTTCTGTACAAAAACGAACCTTTGGAGTAAAGTGTTTTTCGCTTATTTTGTGCCTTTTCTCTCGAGTTCAGGTTGCTGCGTAGTTCTAGCATGCTGGTTACCAGAATAGCTTAGGAACCGAATAGAGCGTTCAAATTAACAAGACTTATCAAGTTGGATATATAGTAACACACTAGTTGTTATATGAAATAATTAGTGTTTATTTCTTATCTGTTATATAGATGAGTTATAGTTATATTGCTGAAATGGGAGTTACATTTCGAAGAAAAAAATTTATGCAAGTTGATCAAATAGCCAGTCAAAACTAAAGAATTTGTATATGAATGACGGATAATGAAATAATTCTTAGTTTATGATTTAAGTTGAAATCAAACTTTCTTTTGCATCATCTTGTAGTGTCGGTTATTATGTTAAGCCTATATACCTTATTCTAGCTTTCGGACAGCCCATTCTATTCATTTTACTTGAGTCACATTCTGATCTTTTTATTCATTCGCTTATCAATCTTGACTGTTTTTATATGAGTTGCATATGTGTGTGTACACTTCTTATCCCATTACTCATCACATGTCTGTAACTTGTTTTTGTGTAACTATAACTATTTATTAACGCTTGGTTAAATGGGAGTTGGCTTACCAGCCATCTCCACTCTGCGTCGTCTCTCTTCTCTCTGTTCCATTCGCTTTATATACAAAATATATGTATTCACAAGTCCATTCTCGTTATTCGACTTATTTAATTCCGTTATTGACTAACGCTATTTAATTCGATGATTATATACGAGGATAGGCGTCATATATGTTTCAACAACAGTCATCATTACGATCACCTTGGAGTCAGACCTCGGGTCACTGAAGTGGAGAGCCCTTTCGACAAAATCGTTCAATCTAAATGACGACAAAATAAAGGGCCCCACAATCTAGTTACAGTAATTAGAAAAAAATGTTGAACATTACAGAAAAACAGAAAAATTGTAGCTTGTTTGAATCATCCAAATAATAATGGTCTTTTAAAGATAATTATATGATAATTGATATCTTTTCTGTTATACTGTTTACAGCTAATGAATTCTTAACCATTTATTAGTATTAAATAGCTCCTTAATCTTACTTTGTGACTACGTAGTAGTATATAAACATATAACTATTAACAGGATCAATGTTGTTCTATCAGTAGTGATGATCCATCTAGATCGACAAGCAAGTGTGTACTGAATGAGATTTATTACTTCTGTCGGTATACGTTGCTGTGAGACATTTTTATTATCCTTGGCATTAAATGTTTCACATTTTTAGAACCAACCAGTCAAACTCTTTCCAACAGATTGTCCATAATCCATCTTGAAACTAGTCACAAATGAGAATATATTTAATGTTTATTCGTGTATTTTGTGTAAACTTACCTATAACGTCTTTTACCCTCAAGATCTATGCACAGTTATTATGCTTCTTTTATATAGGAGTTCAAAATTCGGAATATTCCAACTCAACAACCAATGGTTCTAATACTTATAGTACTTACTATGGTACTCCAAATATGCTTCCCATATCTGTCCCTACAGTTCAAATGATTACAGTGAGTTTTATCAAAACAGAAAGGCTCATCAATCATTTTTTTATTTCCGTACTATTTTTTAATTATGAAATACTTTAATATCAGCATTTACAATGACCTTTTCCGGTTTCTATACGTCGAAATTTGGGTTTGATAATTGAATTCATGAAAACAGGGAAGCTTTCACCTGTGGGGATTATGTATGGTAACAACTAGCAAATAAATTCAACTTCATGTGTTAGATCGTACTCGCCATTCCGTCTCAACAGAATCTTAGTTTAATGTTATGAATACCATTCTGAAAAACAATCCTTGTACCAGTTCATTAAATCAACGATTATTAATAGTAAATTTTTGAGTAAACCCATGGGAATAATAAAAAGTAATAAATGACTATAAGTAGCATACTGTTATGCCCAAAGCTGCCAATCAGAAGCAGCGAATTATCTACCAGACCAAGGACGCGTAAAACATGTGCGAGCAGCCTAGAGTCCTGATTGGTCCTGCTTTCCGCCTAGCCCAGCCAGTTAGGTCTAGAACACCAGTCTCAGCCTCTGCAATATGAATAATTTATTTCAAACATACGGGGTTTATATACCAATCAAACAGACCACAACGTACCATAAAATAGAAAATAACATATGTACAATATTTCGCCAAAAGTGGCTGTGAATAAGGGATGTAGTGATTAACAGACGGAATAATTCAAGAATGGTAAATCGTATAATAATAGTTCATAGGTCAAAATAAAACTCATAATAAGAGGGACATAAATATGAACACTTTAGTTACATAACAATTACACGATAAAAATATACTCATAGTATTGGTCCATAAGTGGATCCCAAAAATTACCATTCATTATTCTTATCGAAATATAACACATATTACACTACTTACGCCTGTTACCCCTTGTGGAGGAGCATAGGCCGCCCACCAGCACTTTCCATCCAACTCTGTCATGAGCATTCCTTTCCAATTGTTTCCATTTGCTGTTCATCCTTTTGATGTCTGCCAGTTACATTAGTATATAAAAATCCATATTTAATCTTCTAATTCCTAAACTATCATCACTTAAATCTTATTTTCTATACTTCGAATTAAATCTTTTGTTTGATATCATTACCTTTTTCGCATTCCTGACTCTGGATCTACTGTATTATTTGCTGTTGAAATATGAATGAAATCAAACTCATTTTTACAAAGTATTCTGTTGATGATATATCTGTTTGTATTTGTGAATAGAGTGAAAATCTATTTGTATTATAAAATATACTAGTGTTTCACCAAAACATTATATCAACTTAAATTCGTTTTGGTGTTGCTTTATTTGTGTCTTCCCATTGTTATTTAGGACTGCAATTGATCAGTCTCTTATTGGCATATGTGCATCCTGTGCAGATTGCCTCGATATAGCCTTAAGTCACAAGCTTTTTAGGCAAAGATGGATAGAGGCTAGCAGTGGAATCAATTGCAGTCCTGAATAACATTGGGAAGATACAAGTAGAGCAACGCCAAGTGAATTTAAACTTCTTCGCATTGCACAAGCAAATGGCTTTCTGGACTCAGTAGCTAAGTGGATAATGTGATGGCGTTTGAAGCGAACGATGTTGGGTTCGAGTCCCGGAGTGAACATGAACTCAGATGCAGGAACATCCAATTGACGAGTCCAGAATAGGACAAAACGCGCGTTCTGGATTCCACTGCTAGCCACTATCCATCTTTGCTTATTATATCAACGTTAATAGAATAAATCATAAAGCCCTCAAATCGGATAAACATTAAAATAGTTTTAATTTAGTGAGTTCATTATTTGGATAATTTAAGATGACAAATATATTATAATAACCATTTTCTGTTTTTAACTTGTATTTACCAAACAAACGTTCAAGTGAAATGTCTTGGGTTTTTATGTTTAAAGGTTAATTTAGAAAAGAATTAAACTTTCCAGAATTCATTATATCCTTTCCGTCTAAATAAAGTGTTTAAACAATATATATGACATGGAAATGACAAACTACATCTGTCAAGAATTCTCTTCTCACAAAGAACACAATTAAAATCTCGTATAAAGTAAAGAAATAACACCAAAAGCCTTAACTGTTTACCATCATAAACATAGTTGAAATTATTTTTTTCTTTTGACGTCTAGGGTCATTAGATTTTAATATATATTTAATATTTCGTGGATTGGTTGAGGTTATAGATTAACACCACTGGATGCCAGCCCAGTGGTCTAGTTGGTTAAGCACCTGGCACGAGACTGATAGGTCCTGAGTCCGAATCACGCGGGGTGCGGATCGTGGATGCGCACTGCTGAGGAGTCCCGTGCTAGGACGAAACGGCCGTCTAGTGCTTTCAGGCTTTTCATTGTGGTCTAGCTTCAATTGACTCATGATTTCAATCTAAAATATTTATTATTTATTGTAATCATTATTCTGATCAGACTGTTCGAAGATGTATTACACTAATATATTACACAGTTCTAATAATCTCCATCTTATTACACTATTTCAGTGTTGTTAAATACCTTCATTTAGGTAATTAAAACATTAAAACGATACTTGTATGTATCATTACCAAGGTTTGATTTGATAATTTCGAATAAATTGAGCATTCGGTAGATCGTTATAAATAAAAATAATATATTTGTAGTATCCCAATGAGTAGAAAAATTAGATTTCCTGACGTTTCGTAACTTAGCGTAAGCCACTTCTTCAGAGAATAAATAATCAAATCAAAATTAATCCAAATACAACAGAACAACAGGAATACTACATGATCAATCAAAAAACAGGTCTGAATAAACCAATGTCGTGTCAATTCGATCAAAGAGAATCATAATCGAAATGTATGTAAATTTGTGTTTATGTAAGTGTGCTCTGTTAAGGATAAAAAATTTGTGACTTTTATGGTGATAAAGGATAGAGTTTAATTTGTAAAATAATAGTGTGAATTGTGAATAATATCATACTAGGTGACTAGGACAGATAGTCCAAGTAGGATGTAACGTAAGGACGTCTTTTCTATTGAAAGTAGTAGGATGAAGCATTACATGGAACGCTTCAGCTATTCTCCTTTCTTTCTAATTGGAAAATCATGAGTCAGTTGAAGCTAGACCACCATTGAAAACCTGGAAGCACTGGACGGCCGTTTAGTCCTAGTATAGGACTCCTCAGCAGTGCGCATCCACGATTCCACACCACGCGGGGCTCGAACCCAGGACCTACTGGCTTCGCGCGCGAGCACTTAACCACTAGACCACTGAGCCGGCCGGCGTCCAACGGTGTTAATGTCTAACTTCAACCAATCCACGAAGTTGCGCCACCGTACACCATTGTCTTCAGTGAGCTCCTATCTCACAACAGACCTGGTTGTATCCCAATGGTAACGGCTTCTCACTAATATCGATGGAAATTCATTCGAATTATGATTATGCAATGAAATATCTTGTTTTAATATATTTAATATACTTATCAGTATTCTTCTTATTTTAGATAATATCAGTATATCATCAAAATAATACATGCTCCTATGTGTACAATTTAAAAGTACTTTGTCTAAACTGTACATAGATATTGTATATATAATTATAAGAAAAATTATTATTACTCTGTGGATTCATCTAATTCTCGTTTCAATGATATTTCTGCATTAAAATATTCACTGAACCATTTTTTTCATTTATCTATTGTCTACAAATAAACTTGGGAATTATTTTATTTAATGATTTCATTATAGTTTTCATGTTGCTTTAAATAATATTGTTTTTCATTTTGTTACCATGTAAACTTAACATAAAATGAGAAAAATATTCTCTTTATTTAGTCAGTGTATAAAAATAGAGATAATTTACTTAACATTCCATCTTTTTAGTCAGAGAGGGGTTATGTGAATATTATAGTAATATAATAGTTGAGTTCATGAGTCCATTGAAGTTAGACCAGCATGGAAAACCTGGAAGCACTGAATGGCTAATTTGTTCTAGTATGGGACTCCTCAGAAATATGCATCCACAATCTCGCCTCGCGAGATTTGAACCCAGAACTTACCGGTGTCGTGCGCAAGCTCTTAACCTCTAGATCACTGAGCCGGCACCTAATAGTGTTCATGTCTAACTTCAACCAATTCACGAAATTTTGCCACCGTCTATCATTGTCATCAGTGAGTTACTATCTCACAACAGACCTAGTTGAATTTCACTGGTTATGGCTTGTCACTAGGACTTCAGGAAATACCTCTTGGGGACCGTCACAATTCCATCTTTTTCTGGTGATTATTATAACTTTGTTATTTTCAATTGATTATGATAACTTTTTTCGAACTGTCTTTTTTTTCTAAATGTTTTTTGTTTTGTCAATATTCTTCTGCTTTATAGATTAAACGTTGATAAACAAAATTGAACTGATTTGGTTACAAACTTATGAATTATTAAATGTTAGATACAGATTTTCTTTTTTTTTCTTTGTAATCTAATCGAAAATTATAACAAGTTTTCATAAACCAAAGCGACAACACAAAAAGGGGTTTATTTATTGAAGTGAGTTTTATTTACATATTTTATATACTATTGTATACATCCTTATATATATATAAACCTTTTAAAACTTAAATTCTCTGAGATTAGATGGTGGTTGGAGGTAGTCGACAGGAAACCCTGGAACCGGGTTTCGTGCTACTTGGCACTCGTCAGTAAGGTGTACCTGTAATCTTTAGGGAAATGGTGCTCCCTGGCGGATTCGATCTTGTGTCACTCAGCTCCACAGTCAGAGACGTTATCACTAAGCTATCCGAGCCGCGACTGACCTCCTATAGGACTGAGGTGTAATCACAATTGATTGATCATTGGGTGGCGATCAATGTCATGCGTATCTTGTCCTTACTAGTGCAGATCGAATGCTATCGTTCTGAATTAACAATGGCACATAAAATGATCATAGAAAAGATCTTACGTACTCAATGGAAATAACTAATAATGACTAGTATATATTGACATACAATATAAGTAGTTTATGATAACAATTCAATAGTGTTATAAATCTTACACAAAGTATATATGAACATTTTGTTGAAACTGGAGATTTAGTGTAAAAATAAATACTCCGTTAACATATAGCATGCAAATATTTACTCTCTCGCTTAGCATAGAATAAACATTAAGTTTATTCATAACTTCATGTTGCATAAAGTACTGACCAGTCAACTCAAAATAAAATAAAAACGATCTAGTTTTAACACGAGTTTAACATCAATTACACAAAAATATTATCATTGTGTACTTTTATCAGTTGCATATAATATAAATTAGATTTAAAATCATATTAATCAGAGTAATGGATAGCATACTGTTATATAATCATAACTGGTGATTGTCAATATCTGAAATGATAAATTATAAAGATTAAAATGTTGATAACTGAGATTATTGAAACATTAATCTGAAGAAAATGGAAATTATTCAAATATAATTCATAGTTGATATAGTTTTTTTGTAGTTGTTTTACTCTTTGAAATGTAGAAGTTGAAGTTTGTGGTGATGCAGTTGTGAAAAGTGACCATAGAAACTAAATGATTAAACCATACATCTAAAAAAAACATAACACACAAATTTTTATCCTACACTGTAAATATTCTCCACCGTGTCCATACTAATTTTTTTTAGTAATGCATCTGATAGTAAGGTATCTTGATTTTAAGTTTGTATGAAAAATTAAATTAGATTCTGCCATATGACAAAGTATTAGTAGAGTTCTTGCAACTAGTGAAGATATTGATTGTCGTTAAAAGAGAGGATACAAATATATATCTAAAAATGCAATCTACAATCCAATTATTTATTCTAATACAACTAAACTACGATACAATGAAATTCAGAATAGTTTTGTACTAGAGAAATGTGATTTGAACTGGTTGGATAGTTTTAGTATTGTAGTGAACGAGAACACGAATGGAGGCAACCGAATGTATTTGAATACAAAATTACGGAACATTTTTAGTAAAATCTGAGAACTATACAGTAGTTACTTAATTTACAAAATGTCAATCATTCGTCTCAGACATGATTGTTCCTTCGTTTCTATTTCCATCATTCTCTGTCCTCGTTCTCTTTCCTTCAATCATAACCTTCTACTACCAGGTATTTCACTTTCTATTGATGATACATACTACTTATATCTATGGAAATCAGTAGTACACATCACAATATAATCAAGTCATTTTCATTATCATTTTATAAATGACTAAAAAATATTGCACATCAGAGTATCAGAAACCTCTCCTCCCCCCCAAAAAACCCCAACTACAATATGTTGATTTAATATATTTTGATTGGGAAACTTTAACACTATTGATTTATTGAATTATAAAAATGATTGTTTATCGTGTAAAAAAATACCGATTAACTGACATATTTATCAATAAATAACAAAACATCCTTGACTTTTTAGAGAATTTAGGCTTCATTAATCTTGTAAACAAATTTATACTTGAAAATAAATAAATAAATAAAAGATAGGATAAAAATCTTTTGATAGATTCTCTTTGTTAAAGGATTAGAAAGAAGAAGAAGAAGAAAACCTGACAGTTTGTCGAACAATATAACCCATTACCTAAGCGAAATATTAAATTAAACATATCAGATGAGTAAATTGTGTATAGTTTCTATATGAATTGGCTTATATACAAATTGAGAATTATTCACATTATTACTAAGATGATAAATGTAGAGAATAAAGATTTTTATTCAATTTCTAACCTTTAAATATACTCAAATCAAGAGTTATATTAATTATCGAATTAAAAGAATTACATAATGATTAGCAGGATAATTTCCGCTAAATCATTACTGAGTTGCATATAAGTAGTAAAGGTTGAGAAAAAAGAGATAAGAATATAGAATGTATAAATGTCCTACATAATAGAAACAAAAGAAAGAAGAAGGTAAAAGAGAATGAGCAAGATAACTTTGTACAAGTAACTTTGTTGAATACATCGTTGTATCTTTAACTAGTTTGGAATAGATGGATTTTTCTATTTTTGTTTTGTTCATTTACTGCCAATCATTGATTGTCAGTCAAGCATACAATGTCGAATAAATAAAAATGAATAATGTGATAATTTTTTGATGATTTGTTGCTTAAAAAGTTAACTATACTGTGAATGGCTCATTCATGCGTTGTTAAAAGGAAGTGTATTGTATATATCAGAATAATCGACATTGAAAGATCAATCCTAATGACAAATAAACATCCATATGAGAATATATGAGATGTCAGTCACTTCAATTAAGGGATCGAATTTATTGAGTTACAATAAAATAATCTAAAGCTTATAATAGGAAAGTAGTTAGAAAATTGGAAATACTACTTGTGTTCTATATTCCTTTGATAATAACATTAAGAAATAATATAAATTTTGGCAAACTTATACCATCGGCTTATAAATCTGAAAATTGGGTTGTAAAATTGACCTAGGCTACTTAAAGAGGAATAAGTAAGTGAATGATGAAAAGACTTTTTTTTAAATAATACGCAATTGCCAATGAACTTTGGTTTGTTTAAACTAGGTGAGTAAGCTTATTTTACTGCCAAGTGTATTGAACTTTAAACTAGTGTTTGATTTTCTTTAATGTATATATCCGTACATTATAAGAATTATATGAGAAGAGGTGAATCCCACAAATAAATCAGTTGTTATGTAATATGACATTCAAATTCTTTAGCATCATTTTGATTATGACTTAAATGTCTTTCAGGTATAGTGATTTTTCACATAGAGTGATGATATGGTAAATGAGTAATTGTTATTATCAAGATAATTAAAGAATTAAATTTATCCAGTTGAGAAATGTTAGTCTAATGTTTGAAACAATAAAAAATATGATTAATTTTTTTCTCAAAAGATGAATATATACCATGGTCAAACAATGTTCCCTACTGTCCATATATATATGAATACTGCTAATTGTACATTCGATAATCTATCTAAATTTTTTCCTGAATAATAAAAACATTATTGTTGATCATAAAATCAAGCGAATTTTTTTCTATAAATGAACATAACGGTTTCTCTCTTTTGAATCTTATTTACTTACAGGTCAGTCGTATCCTGAAATTGATTGAATCATCAATGAAATTCAATATTGTTCTATGTAGTCATTTCAATCAATTACCTTCAAATGTATTTCAAATAATGTTGTTGTACGAAGTTTTTCCGTGTTTTTTGTTTTGTTTGTCTTTTCTAATAATAGAAAAAGCTGAAATTCAATATATTTATTTGTAATAACTCCACAGGACTGTTCTTATTCATTGTGTACTTACATTTGTCTCTTGAATTATTCATGATTGACATAACAATTAATCTTATTCCTTCTTGAATCGAACAAATTATCACTACTGTACCATAATTATTGGCTGTGAATGTTTCCAGTCTTTTATTTTCCAAATGAAAACACATCATCACATTTAAATGTGAACCTCACTTCAAAAACATTCTAATGTTATTATTATTGTTTCATTTTTCCAATCGGTTTCATCTGTTATTACTTTATTATTATTTTTTTTCCATTTTCAGGATTCTTTAATGTATTCATTGAAATATGTGTTCCTTTTTTGTTTAGAGATGTAGTACAATTATGAAAAAAATATAAATATTCAAACATCTTAACAGCTTTGTGTTTATTTACTTTTTGTTTGTTTCCATCCATTCATTCAAGCTTACACACATACACACACACAACACAAACAAATATATAAACAGTATTCTTCTCATAGATAACTCATGTTCAATACAACTTATCTATGTTCACCTCATGTACAAAAGATTATTATTATTACTATTATTACTACCATTACTACTATTGTTATTATACACGTACATATGAATTGGAAACAATATACACTTGTAACCATTGTACAATTAATTTGTGTATAATGATTGTTTTATTAAACTGAAATAAATAAACTAAGATTCTGTGTTTTTTTTTAAAAAAAAATTATTTAGTTTTTATCTTGGTTTTATTCTTCTTTTTTTTAAAAAAAACTTATGTATCTATTTATATTGAAAAGTTGTTTTTTCTTTTTAATTTCTACTTCATAACATTGTGACTTACTCCTTTTTTTCTCTATTAGTTTGTTTGTTTACGCTTTTTTGTTTTCATGGATAAAAGATTGCAAATAATAAATGTTTCATATCTCTTTTTGAACTGATGTATATTGATGTAATTCAAGTTGTGATAGAGTTTTGTGTGTGTGTGTGTATGTGTTTATTAAAAAAAAAAAGTAAATGTTGTTCTATTTTACTTTTGAAGGTTTATATTTTTATGGTGTGAATGTTAAGAATTGTAATTAGTCAGTTGCTAATAGTATAGGTACTTCCTGTAAGGATTTGCTTAGTATTGTGATGAAATCATAAATATGAATTACAGTTTGATAATGTCAAGCAGTACTTATGTTTAGTCTCATTAGAGCATATGTCAGCTCTATAAACATGTATCTTAGTGTTGATGTTCACATTCAGATTCGAAGTCAATATCTTTCAGTATAAATATACAGTGCTTTATCCTCTGAGATACTGAGTTTAGAAAGCCACTAGCTTGTTAAACGAACATGAATTTGTATATTTTTTTCTGATTTCCTTGAATTCAACTATTAGCCACTATCTAACTTTTATTGAACAATGTGTTTCCCAGTAAAATATTATCAAATGCTACTGTCAGAGTGAGTAAATATAAATCTTTGACGACATTATTCAGAAACTGAATGTCTATTACTAAGCACTTGATAATTGAAGTGGAATTTCTGTATGCTATAATCGGAAACGCTTACAATAACTGTTTAAGAAAGAGCATTAAAGCCTATAAAATGAATTCTAAACGGTCAATATACAAGTGTTTATTCAAGTTGGATATTTCGTAATCAAATATTTTTGTGATTTGTTTATGACGATCTTCATATGATTTTAGTTCAGTTTTAAAATGCATAAGTTCTCACTAAAATGTTATCATTATACATCTCATCATCAGCCAAGAATCCAAAACTTTACAAATACTATTATATGATGGTCTCAATGAACTCTAACTTATGATAAATAACACAATCATAGCCTGTTCTGTGAATTTTAGAATTTAATGCATTTATAAAATAAGTCCAATATTTGGATATCTTAGATAAAGTTAATAATTAGAATACATCATAAGTAATTCTGTATTAAAAGTTAATGAGAATTCGTTGATTGGCTATTCTGGATTGATAAGTGACGTATGTACTGAATGCTTCATTTCTTCTGTCTTAATCTTTCATTTTCTAAGTTTAAATTGAATTCAATTCATTTTAGTAATATATTGAGTTCAATCAAACAAACATCGGAAATACTTCGAAGGTCATCATAAAAATAATTTTTGAAATGGAAGTTCTTTGTTAGTGTATTAATAAATATTCAGAAAATCTAGTAGAAAACATCCGCTGTTTAACCACTTCGTAGTTAGTAAATTATACTATATACTTGTTTACATTCACTTAATATCAAGTTATGTTAATTTTTAACGGTTCACAAATATTTCGTTTAGTTGCATAATTGAACAACTGAATTTCTTAGTCGGGTTGTTGGACTAATGCATATATATATAGTGACCATTCTTGTAAACCAAGTATTTTGGTAATAAATCTACATCACTGATAGCTGTAAATGAAGATCGTAAATCCATTGAAGTATGAAATGTAAATCACTTGAGTTTAAATCTAATGATCTAAAAGTTGTGCACTTGTCACATAATATACTGCTCTCGAACTTAATCTCTAGTCATTGTAAATGCATATTTCATAAGTAATCCATTCTAGGATAAAACGACTGTTAGTTTTTAGTTTTTAATGATTATCTAGATGGATTCAATCTCTACAAAGAATATTTCAATAAGCATTAACATAAAACAAACAAAGTTAGAACAAACATGGATGCAGAATAGTGTGAATTCATTATATCTCGTGGTTTCTCGTCAGTGGCTTACAACTAAATATGTATTAGAATTTTACATTGAAATAGGAAATAATATGGAACGATTGACATAAGTGAATGTAAAGGATTGGAACGACAAAGATTATACGAAGATATATATATATCAGTCAGTCAGTCAGCTACAACGTAGGACCAGGCACATATATGTATCGGTCCAAGTTGCCATACCTCATTAACACAACAAGATGAACACCGGATTCATAAAAGTAGTTAATTCAGAGGTGGTAATATATAAAAGAAAGATTGCATATAAGGATATAGTACAGGAAGAAAGAATTAGTTAGTAGAAAGAAAGATATGAAGCAACTTTAATCTCATCGTTTAAAGGAAGACAACGAGTTTATACACCGACGTCATTATGATCGATTCTGAGCCATGTCACAAAGAGTCTCCAACCATTGGATACGATAGTCACGCGGACCCCAACCAAGTAGTCTGCATCTCCCAACATGGCTCAGACCAGAAGTCAGTGACTTCAAGCAATGGTGCCACGTTTTGGTTTGGCCGCCCATAACATTCTTCCAACCATCTCCAACACCGGGTAGCACTGTGGGTCATGGTAATCGGTGTTCAGGCATACGTAACACGTGGCCCAACCATCTCAGTCGATGAAGATTAACAATCTCATCAACTGATTTACCATCATTCCCTAATACCCTGCGCCTAACCTCACTATTACTTATCCGGTGATCCCAGCAGACGCCAGCAATATTTCTAACGCATCTGTGGTCAAACACTAGTAGCTTACGAGTGTCTTCTACTCTTAATGGCCATGTTTCGCTGCCGTAAAGTAAGACAGAACGGACTGCCGCGCAGTATACTCGTCCTTTTATTGATAGACGGATATCTCGCCTTCGCCAAAGGTGACGTAAGTTGGCAAAAGCCAAACGAGCTTTTCGAATCCGTGCTGAGATTTCGTCAGACACCAACCCATTAGGGCTGATCAGACTTCCAAGATAAGTGAAGTTGTCAACGCGTTCGACTACTTCACTCCCTATCCTTATTTCAGGTGTTGACGCAGACCAGTCCTGAAGCAACAACTTGCATTTAGAGGGAGAGAAGCGCATTCCAAACATTCTGGTATTGTTGCTTAGTGGTACCAAAAGACCGCATTTTATCAGCGTCCTCACCAAACAGGACTATGTCATCTACGTATTCTAAATCGATAAGTGAACCTCCTGGAAGGAGATCAATACCCGAGAATTCAGTCGACGAGAAAGTTATTTCCATTAGTAGGTCTATGATGAAGTTAAACAGAAATGGAGAAAGTGGACAGCCTTGACGGACACCACTTGAGGTTGCAAAAGTAGATGACAGTTCGCCATAAGCTCTGACTCGACTGGTAGTGTTCGAGTAAAGAGCCTTCACAAGGTTTATGTACTTCTGAGGTATATATATATATATATATATATATATGCAAGAACAGGTCAGAGGTTATTAAGGATGGTTGGTGCAATAGTTGAGTGGAGTTCAGAGACAAATGTAATATGTCATCTGATATTCGTCTGATTCCAATATTTAGGAAATGAAATTTACCTTCAACTTCATGTTCCATAGTAACTTCTATATCCTTGTGTGCTTTATTAAACAGATTCAGTAGGTTCATGGAGTGCTTGTAATTGTTGCAGCTAGGAAATATGACATCAATATATCTATAGTACCATTAATTGCATGCTTAAGATAATTTTCAATACATAAAGCTTTCATTCATTTCGATTGTCAATCTATTGAGAGAAACCTTTTTTTTTCTTTGCTGATCAATCAATTCTCTTATTTCTCCTTTTTTTTTCTTTGTACCGATTTATTTAATTGATTTAGTTTTGGGAAAAGAAAACAATTAATAGAAATTCTGTTTATTAAATGAACCTTTAAAAAACAAACAATAATCATCTACAGATGCATTTGTTTATCATTAATAGAAGGATATACATTTAATGTGTTTTTTATTATTTATTTCAATTACAGAATATCTATCTATGTATCTATCTAACCGATTTACCTACATAAAATTAGATCAAGAATAGTAAGATAGAGTTAATGTGTACATTCATTAAAAGAATAATAATAAGATATTTATCATAAACAAAATTCTCTTCTAATAAGTAGTATCTTTTACTTTAATAAATAAAAGAAGAAAATAAAACACATTCACATAGATTAAACTGAAAAAGAAAATAGAAGAAATAAACAAACTAATGTGATGAAATCAAATGAAAATAATTTTAACTCTAGTACTTTCATCATATTGATAAAGATCAGTTAATATTTTTTTGCTAGTTAAATGAAATGAAATTAACAACAACGATAACAATAACAAAAAACACAACAATAATAACCATGATAATGAATCAAATCAACAATCAATTCATTTCTTACATTGACTTTATTAAGAAAAGAAAGATGATTAATATTATACTACTGTTTTGCTTGTATCTATTGTTGTAAATGATAAAATTATTAAGGTACACTTTGTATTCACTACTATTTTATTATATTCATGATAAAAGATTTGTGAAGATCATTTAAAATTGAAGAATGTATCATTTCCATGAAATTTCTAAGTATGCCTTGTTGACGAGTGTTTATTTGGAGAAAAATCTAGTTTTAAAGTATCTTACAAACTATATATACACACATCTTAACACTATGAGTCACTTAGATTATTGACTATGTTGTAAGTCAGTTGACATATGGTCAACTTTGTCCATTGTTTTATCTAAGTTGTTAGATTAGGCAGAATTACCCAATCTCTCCATTTCTCTCCAATTTTCCCATCGATGACGTTTTAAGAAGAGCTCACATGGATGTAGATAGTAGTGGTGTAAATCTGTTATCCGGAGGTAGACTTTATGACAATGAGTATGCGGGTGATAATATCTTACTGTGAGATGATATTTAATCATGCAATACGCACTCAACCAGTGTGGAATGTGCGTCCGTAGGTATGACATGTGTTTCACACCTTCTAAGTACAAAGTTTTTTTTTTTCGAAAATTGAAGAACACTGTGCCTGAAATCACTTTTGTTAGTGAGCAGTTAAAGGTAACCGAAAGTTTTTTCTATCTCGGTGGGAGTGTAAGAGCTAGTGGTGACGTGAGTGATGCGATAAATTAGAGTGTGGCGAAAGCCAGAGTGGCTTGTGATAATGTAAGGCATTTTTATTCTGGCTGAAAAATTTTGGATCTACAGCTTTAATCTATGCTTTTGAAACCAGGTGTCTTCAAACTGAGGATGTTAAGCGACCCTCTGTATTTGATCTCCGTTATCTCTAAAATACT